CTTGCTGTCCTTGGCTTAAATCTTGGTTTAATCAGTGGGGTCAAACATAAATCCTGTATTTGGCTCATAGAAAGGATTTGCAAAACCGGACCCAGCCCAGAGTAACAGCTGTTACAAGATTTAAAGCGTTCCAGATCAGAGTATATCTTCTGATGACCAGGGAAGCACAAACACCCACAAACAAATAAACATAGGAAAAGGGGACACAGCTGGTAAAAATGGAATATCTTCAAATAAAACCTGATTTCCATACCTGTACCCTGGGCTGACCTGCTGTATGCAAATACCAGCTTAATATCTCTATTAGTTCCTCCTTTTTCCTCCATCCCTGGACAACCTAGCCATCCGAAATTAAGAGGTGGGGGGGGGGGATTAAATCCCTTATCAGCCGGGAGAAACAAATGTTCTCTGATTTAGTAGAAACAAGATCCCACTGAACACACTGTCATACAACCTACTGTCCCACCAGAAAAAAGGGGTCTATGTTTATTACTAACAAGGACTTTTGTTTTTTAATTAAAGGGGCCATCCCTTGACTCACTTCTTAAACAGGCCTATTCACTGAATGGGCTTTGCCTCACTCAAAGTGAGACCTTGGAAAGACCTTAGCTTAAGAAGGCCAAGGTCTCTCACCGAATCCAGGGCTATCTCCAGTTGTCCTGATCGCTATCTGGGCACTGGATGGCTCTGGAGGAGAAAGCGAAGTTAGTGACTTTGCACAGCCCTCCCTCATTCAAATCCAATTCATCTGCAAATCATGTCATCCTCTTCCAGATGTCATGGAAGGACAAACCACCACAGCAAGGACTTACATTTCAATCACTCCTAACAGTGGACTAAGCATTTTCTTCACCTGACAGGTGGTGAAGGTGCTGTCAGAGGTACACCCACCTGCACTCTCATTAAGACCCCTGCTTTTTGCAATCTAACAGTCTGGCAGTAAGTTAATTAGTTAAGCAGGTAAGTGGTGCAGGGGATAGAATGCTGGAGTTGGAATCAGTAACCCCTGAGTTCACATTCTTAGATACTTTCTGTTTAAGCCTGGGCAAATCCCTTAATCTCCCTGAACCTTAGTTTCCCCATCTGTAAAATGAGGACAACAGTAGCATTATGAGAATCAAATGCTATAACCCATATTACAGTGCTTTGCAAATCTTAAAGCATTATATAAATAAGTCATTATATATTTTGGACTATTGCCTCTGGCCACCAGTACACAGAGTGTCAGTGTAGACTTCCCTAAAGGCTGGTCTATATAGGAGTAATCTGCTTTCTCCACCCCTCTATTTCTACAGGTAAGGTATTTAGGGAGAAGGATCCTGTAATTTCATTGGTATAGAACAGGTGGGGAACTCGCTGTCTCAAGGCCACATGTGGCCCTCTAGGTCCTCAAGTGCAGCCCTTTGACCGAAGCCAAACCTCATAGAACAAATCCTTTTACAATCCTCCTTCCATCAAGTCAGGTCTACATCTTCACTATAATAAGAGTTTCATAAAACCCTGACAGATTCAGTGATTTGCCCCATCACACCACCAGTACCTGTCAGATGCAATTCACCCTTTTTCAGAAGCCAGCTCTCTATTCACCAAATCATGCTACCACCCAATTCTAAAGGTCAAAAATAGAGGCAAGTGGAAATATGATGATATTGTGTTAACTAACTTTTTGTTTGAGGTGTTTTTTTTTGGGGGGGGGTGTTGAGGCTAGAGACTTGCCCTGACTTACACAACTATTATCATGTGTCTGAGGCTGCATTTAAACTCAGGTCCTCCCGACTCCAGGGCCAATGCTCTATCCACTGTGCCACCTGGCTGCCCCTTTGTTTGAGGTTTTTTGGCCACAGCTATTCTAACTAAGAGTTTGATCAGCAAGTTTAAAATAAAGAAGTCTATATAGTTGAAGGTGCTAAAAAAAGAAAAAGAGCAACTTTATTTTAAAAATCTGTAAAATCTCTCATCTCTGCTCTCAAGCCCTCATCCCTGCTTTGGAGGTCTCCCCTTCTCATTCACTACCCACCAACCTCCTTTATTAGGTTTGAGCGAGTTACTTTTTAAGGTCATGTGATTTCTTTTTGGAAGCATAATAGGGTAACTCTAATGCCAGTATGATAATACTGTAAAGACGCTTTCAAATAAGAAGTGGCAATGAAATCGATGAGTTGAGTCGAGTCTGCTTCCTCCCCTCCCCATATACACACCTTTCCCCAGAGATAGATGAGGGCAGAATAAAGGGCAGAAATTGTGGATTTGGGAACTCTCTGAGATTGGCAAACATTCTGCAGAGGTCTGGCTGGGGTAGGAGAGTGCTGGAGGTTGGCATCGCATCTTAGAGGATTTCACTGCTACTGGGAGAATTCGCAGGGCAGCCTGTCCTATCCACTAACTTCTTTCTAGTTTGGTCTGGGACCCACTCCTATTCTCCTCTGCTCTAGGTTTATAGAGCTCCAGGGCTCTGTACCTTCACAGGCTGTCACAACTGCAAGCCACAGGGATGCCCATTCTGCTGCAGTCGCCTGGAAGGAATGGAATAGCAGTCCAGAGTTACTAGCAGCAGATGAGGAAAGGCCACAGTGTGCCAATCCTTAGGCCAGAATCCCTTTCTGCCTCCCCTGGTGCCTTGAACTCTTGCCCTTAACCTCAATCCTCTCTCTCTGCAAGCCCTATTCTATCACTGCAATTGCTACCATGTGGGGGGAAGGATACCATCCATGTCAGCACCCTAGCACAAAGCCCTGGTCTTCTCATGCTAGTTCAAGCTCAGTTAAGGTCTAGTAAGTGGAAATGGTTACTTTGAACCTCAGCCCTCCAGTTGCCTCCAAACAAGGGCCCACACCCTAAAATCTAATGAAGTTGATCGGAGGACTCAACTTGACCAGGTACTTCCTGATCCACCCTCCTTCCTCACTGGAAGGATTTTGGCACATGTATCTTTATACCTCTGATGAAGCCCTTTCCATGGGGATAAAGCTAGGGATCTTGTTTTCAGCATAGTGTAATGGAAGTCCATTGGAGGGATTTGTAATACGTGTAGACATTCTGTAAAGGTTCTACTCTGCTATATACAGTGTTAAGAGAAGCCTTTTCAGGGGCAGCTAGGTGGCTCAGTGGATAGAGCACCAGCCCTGGATTCAGGAGGACCCGAGTTCAAATCCTGGCCTCAGACACATAACACTTACTAGCTGTGTGACCCTTGGGCATGTCACTTAACCCCATTGTCTAGCAAAAAAATAAAAAACTTTGAAAAGAAAAGCCTTTTCAATTAGCTGGATCATCAGAACTGGAAGTGACTTCAAAAAGGCATCAGCTGCCATTTCCTCTTTAGCTGCTCACTTTCGATTTGACTCCTTTACTGACAGCCCCCATTGAGTCAATGTTCAAGAGGAAAGGCCTTGGGTGGTCTTCCTGTTGAGGCTAATATGGAGCACTGTGAAATGGGCCTCTGTCCTCAGCCTCTATTTGTAAAGGAATTGGAGCTTCCAAAAGATTGCTAGTTCCTGGTACCCTAGAGCGCCATCATTTTGCAGCCAGTGCTCGTGTCCAACAGAGCATGTGAAGTGACTTTTCAGAGCCCCTTTGAAATGCAGCCCTGTGGTACCTGAGATGAGGATTCGGCTAACAGCTATGCTGTATTAGAATTGTGAACTTCTTGGGAACCATGTTATGGGCTAAGAGTGAATCACTGTTGTTCTACACTCCAATTTCCTTACCCTTAAGTAAGTTTTCCTCTCCTTAAGCGAAGGAGTTGGCTTCCTAAGATCTCACCTCCTTAAATGCTATGATCCCCTGAAAATGTGACTGCAACCTCACCCATAGCCCCTTCCCCTATAGCCAAGTCTTCGATTTACTCTGGTATTCAATCCTATTGTTCAGTACATTCCCACTGGCACCACCACAGGGATTCCTAATTGTGTGTGTCCTGGGACCCACAACACAAAAGGCCGCCAAGTACACAAAACTGAAGACGTCTGCTGGGCCTCAGAAGGCAGAACGTGAACATGTAGGAGATAAGCTTTGGCTTGGCACCAGGCAGGCCCTTGGAGATGTCCCAAAAGGCAGTAACAGCGGCAAACAGTGTTTTCCATCACTTGACGGACCCAGGTAGAAGCTGAATTACATCAGTCATGTTGTAGCAGGCCATCAGAGAGCCCTCCCAACTCAGATTTTATCCATATTTAGGGGAATTCATACCTTATGAACAGAATGCCATGTTTTCCTATTTGTCTATCCATATGGGGGGGTGGGCAAAAATCCTTTTAAACCCTCAACTCGGATTCCTTATCCCCACTTTTCTTTATGGCTTTCCTTTCAAGTATCTATCCTTTTCGTACTAATTGTAACAAAGGACTTCTACCATATTGATCCTACAATAAGCCACTCATCTCCCCAATCTGATTTATATAAATCTGGGGAATACCTGCATTTCCTATTATTTTTTCAGTCTGTAATACATAAATTGTTCCAGTTTTATATGCACAGACACATTCACGTGCCTGTACATGTGGTTGTTATATATACAGATGTGACTATACACACATACGTATTTAAACGTATGTGTGTGTGGCTACAAATTTTACTTTAAAAGGGCACTGCCTAGACTCAGAACAAGGTAGTCATGCACACTTAGTACATGTAAGTCAAGAGTCTGGGGTTCTGCTCTCAGGAGCTATTTACATTTTAAGCCTTATGTCTAACCAAGGAGTACTGGGGATAGGGGGAAGGTAAGGAAACGTTTTATGAAAAAATGCCGAGCCTATGACCTGGGGCTTACTGGAGAAACTCTCTGAGTCCCATTTTCCTTGTCCAGTACATGTGAGCAAAAACGTCACCCTTCCTTCTGTAATTCCAAAAGAGATACTTTGTGGATCAAAAGAGAAAGTGTATAGGATACCTGTAAACCGTGAATTACTATAAAATATGGAAACTATTATTAGTAGCCCAGCACCCGTGGTCTGTTCACCCCACCAAAGCCCGATGTATAAGGCAAAGATAAAGACACAAGGAACTGCAAAGTTACAAATTTATTGGTCTGGAAATAAATACAAATATCTCATTAAGAAACCTTTTTGGCAAGACTTGACACCATACTGTCCACCTCAGGTTCTCAGCCACTTCTGCCTCCCTCACCACCTCTTCTGGCACAAGAACTGTGTGAAGCCTCCAAAGATGGAGGCTCCCAGGGAGTCAATCATCCCAAGCCAGTCATCCTCCCAAAGGTTGATTTGCAATTAACATCCTTCCAACAGGAAAATTCATTAATTAGCTAAAGCATAGGTCCAAAAGCCACACAAAAAACCCCATCATAATTGGTTGCTTTGTTTGACAATGCTTTCTCCAAAAAGGTGGAGGGGAGTTAATTGAAAAATGCAGGAAATTCCAGAATCCTTACATTTTACCAGCTCCCATCACCACCACCACCCCCAAACCCCCAAGGGTTCTCTCTACCTATCACTTGACCAAAACCCCTCTTTTCAGGAAATGGTTCTAAACAAGTAACAACATTATGCCAAAGTCAAAATTCACAGCTATCTTTTTTTAAAGGTCATGCCATTATTCTGAGACTTATTCTTTATAACAGAATTGAAAGGCAAATTCATTTCAGGACACAAAATTCCAGAGTGGTGTTATATTTTTGGCGGGGAAGGGATGGGAATGGGAATGTTGCTTTCTTTAGCCAAGCTGATGTTAGAATACAAATACTCCTTTCCTTCAAGGAACTGCAGAAGGCTGTCTTCTGTTTAATGTGAAAAATGCAACAAGCCCTTTTCCCCATCCAGCCCTGTACCCCACCTTTTACGTATAGTTAGATAACAACCCCCTAGGCCCCAGAGAGATTACATATTACCACAACTCTCTTCCCCATTATTCACATATATGAAATTAAACGTGTAGAATCAGTGATATTCAAGTTGGAAGGGCCTTTAGATCAGAAAGCATGGAACAGAATGTCAAGAGAACTAGAAAATGTCTTAGAACACCCAACAACAGACTGTTCAAGCTGGAAGGGGCTTAGAAGCATGGGACATTAAAACAATGGACAGAGTTGGAAGGGACCTTAGAGATCATTATTTCATAGACAGGGAAACTGAGGACCAGGGAGAAGCAGCAGAGCTCTCAGCCTACGCCATGAAAATTCTTCCCTGTGAAATCGCCAAGGAATGCAAACTCCTTTTAAATAAGGTGAGAATCAAAGGGGAAAAGAAAAAAAAGGAAGGTTCCTCACCACAGTTTAAGGAGAGGTGTGGCAAGGCTGAAATCTCACAAAACATGAAATATACCAGAAGCCCATCAATAACTTTCATTGTGTTTAAAGCCTCGAGTTTACATTGGCTATTTTAACTGAGTGTTAATGGTGGAGAAGAGAATGGGTTTTTATGCTTCAAAATTAAAAGGCGTATAAATGCACAACGTAATTTTAAAGTGTCTACAATTATGATAGTTTGAGTCTGCCAAAAAAAAGAACAAAACAAAACCAAAAACCCACCAGCATAAATGTGAGCTTCACCATTTCCCCTCGTTAGAAAAAAAAAAGCCACCCACAATGCACTGGACTCTCCCTCCTTACATCCAAATAGTGTTGCCTGTATTACAAACTGGGTCAGTTTCTCCTTTTGCTACAAAAACACAGTGGATCGGCTGTACTGCTGACCAAAGGGCCTATGTGACTTCCATTAATCAGGCCAGCCTAAGGGTTTGTTTTATTTTTTTTAAAAAACAACTTTTTCTCTTTTCATATCTTTTTTGGGGGGCAAAATGCCTCTTTCAAGTCTGATGTGAGTGAGAGAAGACAGCAGCAACCAGAATTTTGTGAACAATTTAATCAAGAGACCCATCTCTGGATGCTTGCTTTAGACCGGTCACTGTTATCTTTCCACACTCCAACCCTGCCCCCCCCATATCAAAATGACTCTCCCTCACTTTGTTCTCACCAGAGCTCACTCTTAAAAAATAAGCTTTGGATTAATACCAAGTTATGTGCAGTGTGACAGAGGAGGGGTGGGATGTGGGATTGGGGGAGAAGGGAAAGGAGGCAGCTACTTAAAACAGAGTTCAAACCAGAGCCAGGAGGGAGCTACTGGGCTCTGAGGGGGTCCTTGTCTAACAGGAGACTTCCATGGACTTGAGCCCAGCATTGTCCCCGGTGCTCCCAGAGTTGGGAGTGATCTCAAGGCGGGTGTCTGTGTGGGAGCGACTGCGGGTCCCCTCACTGGTGTGGGAGCGGCTGCGGGTTCCCTCGCTGGTGTGGGAGCGGCTGCGGTTGCCTTCCAAGGAGGTGACGCTGGAGCCAGAGGCTGTGCGGGACCTCATGAGGCGAGTCATGCTGGCAGAAGGCACTGAGGAGAGATAAAAGCGATGGAGACATTCATGGAAGGTCCCTCCAGTCCAAGTCTCCATCTTGCAAACAAAGCTTTGAAGCGGCATGAGAAGAGGTGACACGGCTGTTTAGCTACATATAGCCAGTATCCAGATCTTCTGACTCTCCAGGTTTGTTGCCATCTTTTCTTTCAGCCACTCTAGGTCTGAAAAGCTATCCCCATCACAGAGAATCTCAAGAACATAGGCCTGGAACTCAAAAAAACCTCAGAGGCCACAGAACCCAAGACCTTCGTTTTATAGATGAGAAATCTGAGGCTCAGGGGAAGCTAAATTACTATTCACAATTACTGGTTAAATCTCTCTGGGAGTCAGCTTAATCCATCTACTACAAATCCCCTTCATTTTACAGAATTCAAATCTAACATTCTGTGACGTCCTATGTCAATTAGAAAAAAAAAAAGAATTCCCCATTGTAAAACCCTCTAAACAAAGATATCAATTCTTTGGGACCCAAAATCACAAAATTTGAAAAGTTGGAAGGGACCTCCTGTAGGTGGGAGCCATCTTAAAATGAATCTCCACATGAAAATACCAGAATGTTCAGTGTCTGCTCAAAGTCTTCTGAAGAAGAGAAATGATCACCTCTTAGACTACTCCACTCTTGGACAACTCTTAAGGTTAGCTATGTTTTTCCAACCTTGCTTCTACACAATCTGTTGCCAAGGCCTGTTGATTTTACTTTTGGAACATCTCTCACCTACATTTTCTCTTCTGCCTCCATCCAGGTACAGGCCCTTACCACCTCATGCCTGAACTACTGCAATAATGGTGATGGGTCTACCTGCCAAGTCTCTGTCCACTCCAATCTATCCATTCAGTCACTAAAGAGATTTCCCTAAAGAACACATCTGATCATGGTCATCTCTCTACTCAATAAACTTCAGTGGCTCCTTGTTGCTTCCAAGATCAAATATAAGATCTTGTTTGGCACTGCAAGCCCTTCATATCCCACTGCCACCATCTCCCCCAACCTTTCCAGTCTTTTTACATCATATTCTCCCTCATATACTCTGTGATTCCGTAACACTTGTCTCTTTGTAATTCCCCGAACAAGACACTCTGTTTCTTGGCTCTGGATGGTTTCTCTGGATGTCTCTTACGCCTGAAATGCTCTTCCTCCTCACTTCCCTTAAGTTCCAGCGAAAATCTCACCTTCTACAGGAAGCCTTTCCCAACCCTTCTTAATTCTGTATCTTCCCTCTGTCAATCATTTCCTATTTACCCTGTACCTAGCTTGTTTGTAGATACTGGTTTACAGATATCTTCTCCTCAATTTAGATTGTGAGCTCCTAGTGTCTTCTGCCTTTCACCCAACCCCTTTTTGCACCCTCCCCATCTCACCAGTAAGAACCTCACTGTGACCAATAGTCAAACAGCCTGGGCATATGGGGCACGCAGTATTTGTTGAAGTAATAAACAAATACAATCAATCTGATGCACAGGTATTTGCAGCACCATCCATTGCATAATAGGGACACATACTGCCATACTTGTGTGCACACCATAGCTGTAAACCACTACTGAAGTGTGTGCCCTGGCCCCTTGACCTCTTCCCTTCCCTCTTTGGGATCAGGCAAAAAGGTATGAGTAAGCAGGTTCCAGGGGTCCTGCCTTTCTTTTCTCTCTACTCATAATGGGCAACCTGCACTCCTAAGAAAAAACACAGATGCTTTGTGAGGAAAATAAGAACCTGACTCAGCTTTTCCTATTCCTCTCCAACCAAGAGCATACATTTGGGGGGTGGGGGGTGGGGAGGGAGGAAAGCCTATATTCGGCACCAGTTCCAAGACAAATCAGCTCTGATTCACACCCTGTAAGGTAAACAAATGTGAGAGGCTCGGTGGGTCTTTCTGGTTACCTCATCTGCCAGCAAGTGCTATTTGGGGTTTCAACATTTAGCTCAAAAGGTACAGGGGGTGACAGGGGAGGAGAAAGACACGAACCACCAGGAGGTGGTACCACAGGACAAAGAGGCTGGGTCACGTAGAGGAGAACAAATGGTACACTGGTAACCCTGAGGGGATGGGGGGATGGGAGCAAGGGGCATACAAGGGGGATCCTCATTCTGTGTGTGGGGCTCATAGAAGGCGGCCAGGAGAAAAGGGCAGAAGGATGAGAACAGCATCTAGCACACGGGACTGCTGTGAGGACCAAGAGAACAGAACATGTGCAAAAGTACTATGTGAACATTCGCTTTTAGTTATCAAAGCACTCTGCACACCTTAAGGTACTACATAAATGATAGCTGTTATATACAAGGCCTCCCAAAAGCTTTAAAATTCTAAGTCTTAAAACCAGTTTTAAAACTGCACTAAGACGTTCAGGATACCTGCATATACGTGTTATAAAAACATATGCAATCACGCATGTGTACATATACATATGTATTGCATACATGTGTGTAATATGTACATGTGCGTGTATATTTACTCATGCTCTCATATACATATAAAATAATGAGAGCATGAGAGAATATATACAAATTCAAATTCCTTCATTCATTCATTAGATATTTATTAGAAGCAGACAGGTGGTGCAGTGGGTCAGGAAGACCCAAGTTCAAATTCACCTTCACACTTAGCTGTGTGACCCTGGGCAAGTTACTTTCCCGCTATCTGCCTCAGTTTCCTCAACTGAAAAAAGGGGATAACCACACCTACCTCACAAGATTGTTATAAGGATCAAATGAAATAGTATTTGTAAAATGCTTAGCACAGTACCTGGCTCTACATGAATACTTTTCCTTCCTTTTCCTGCCTACTATGTGTGGGAGGCAGTTCCCTGCAACGGCAAGAATGCTGGACTTAGTCAGGTGACATGGGTTAGACCCCATCCCAGCTCTGCCATTTGGAAGGTGCATAACTTTGGGGAGAAGTCACTTGGCTTCTCTGGCCTTCATGTTTTCTTGTCTATTTCTCCCAAGGGCTGGGTGAAATGATTTCTGAAGCTTTCCTAAAGCTACGTGAAATCCTCTAAAGATACAAAGATGACTACAGTGCATTCTTTTCCCTCAAAGAGCTTATAGTTTAACAGAACAGATGTAATACAAGGGTGACAGAATATAATGCAGTCTGTTCTAAAAGCTCAAATATCCTCTATCCACACACACACACACACACACACAAATTAAAAAGAAAAATCACACCTTTCCTTGATCCTCCCACTCCATCAACAAGCTCTCCTCTCTTCCCTGACAATTCCAACAAAAAGTGTCCTAAGTGCCAGAGAGGGTGTTACAATGAAAAAAATGCCACAGAAGAAGTGGTATCTCTCAGGCATCTCAGAGAAGGCAGAAGGTTGAACTAGGTGACCTCTGGGGTCCCTTTCATCAAAAGATTCTAGAGAATGTGGCCCATGACTAGCTACCACCACCATGGTACTAAACAGAGAACACAGGAAATCACAGCATCTGTCTTGGGCACGAGCCCACATTTCAGAACTGGGCCATGTGTGTGTTTGTCCTGGCTGAAGAACAAACTTCAGTCTCAGCATGGAAGACAGAGAGGGGCAAATTCATACATTTCGCTCCTGTTTATACTCTTACTTTAAAATCAAATAGTTGAACTAAGGCCTTCTGCCTGATTATAGGTCAGAAGTAAATAATCAGAGATTCTAATTGTATGGCACTTGACAGTTTTCAAACTGCTTTTCTCATATTCTTTCTGGCATTTTACACCAGAGAACTAAACATTTTCATGAAGTCGGGGCTTGAAGCCAAACAGTCAGTCTGAAACACTTACCCCTGAGAGGAGAAACCCAAGCCAACACATAATTCATGAGTCTGATTCCTCCCTCCTGGAGAGGTCAGCCAGTGTTTAGGCTTTTGTCGCTGCTCAATCATTGAAGACACTAAAGTGCCATTTCCTTCTCCAGCTCATTTTATAGATGAGGACACTGAGGCAAACAGGATTAAGTGACTGTCCCAGGGTCACACAATTAGTAAGTGTCTGAGGCCGGATCTGAACTCGGGAAGATGAGTCTTCTTGACTCTAGGTCTGACACTCTGTGTACTATGGTGCCACCAGATAAAGGGGCCACAGGATAGAATGTGTTAAACGGGTATTATGTGGCAATGACATGTGTTGGAATGGAGGACTGGATATAGAAACAGAATTGGGTTCAAAGCCTGGCTCTCAGGCCACAGGCAAGTTCACCTGACCTTTTAAAACTGTCATTTCCTCAACCCTAAGAGTGGAGATAATATGTGTACTATCCACCCTGTAGGGTTGTTGGGAGAACCCTCTTTTTTTCACAAACAATAAAAAGTGCTATAGAAATGTGAGTTTATAATCCACATCAAACTGCCTGCCTTCTCAAGGAGAGGGGAGAGGAAGGAAGGAGGGAGAGAGAATCTGGAACCCAACATTTCAAAAATCTAACATTAAAAATTATTTACGTGTAATTGGAAAAAAAAATTAAATACTTATTTAAAAAAAGAAAGGAAACATGAGTTATCAGTTAAGTAATCGGGTGGATTGATTCACTTGGAAAGGAAAAATTGGCAGGAATGATGCCCTCAGATTTGTCATCAGAAGATTCGTCTCTGCTCCGGTTGCCTGTATAACCTTGGATGTCTGTCAACTGGACCTCATCAATCAAAAATGGAGATAATGATATTTCTACTGCATACCTCACAGGACTGTTGTAAATGGTAATGCGCCCTAGATAAGTGCATGCTGTTATATGCCCTTAACTATACTCCATCTGGCCCCCGGGGACCAAGCCAATTCTACATGGCCCATAAGTAGCCTGTTTTTCTAAACAGGCATTAGCATATTGTTATAACCTACTTTTAGCTCCCTAAGTCTCAATCATGGAAATCAATGGAATGAAACATCGGGATGAATGAAACCAAATGACACCCCAAGAGAAAAGGGGACACACAACTCACCCATTACATTTAAGGCTTCTCAGCATCTGAAATAGCTGCCACAAAGTCCTTGTGGTTTATTTTGTAGGAGGGGCAATCATGCTCTTATCCTACCACTCAAGTCTAACTCATTCTGATTTTACACACAATTCTAACAGGTTTGGTTGATAGTTTCCCAGCCCACAGTAGTTACCAAGAAGTAATGGATGACAGCCATAAAGGAACAGGGGAAAAAAAAAAAAAAAACAAGAACAGGTTGACCACAGCCAAAACACAGCATCCTGGCACTGTTTAGTGTAAGAGCAAAGTACCCTATACCATCTTAACAGGTAGATGGGGGACACCAGAAATGACCCACTTCTACTAAAACACACTGTTTAAGGAAGCAGAACATGTGGGTAATGGTTTTGGAAGGGTCTTCACATTAGTCATCCCACCGGGATGCTCCTTTCCCAACAGTACTTGATAAATGTGGCATTAAAGGGACAGAACGTAGCCTGGGGCTCCCTATACCAATGAGGCTGGAATTCACGCCCCTCACCTCCTTGCACAAATGCCTTCCCCCAACTTGACCACTTGATGAGGTGAGCAAACCCACTCCATCTGCTTTAGGGCGTTTCCAAATTCTACCCTCTGGGCTTTGACCCACCCCCTTCCCCCAATCACGGATGAGGGCTGCTCAGACCCTCTTTCTGCATTGTGGGACAAGCATAGCATATACTTACTGTAACCCATTCCCTGGACAAAGTACTTGAAAGCCTCTGCAAGCTTGGCAGGCTGCAAGAGAGAGGGGAAAAAAGAGAAAGCTCCGGTCACTTCTCCAATCTGGAAGCTGGGGCCCTAAGCTTCCTGTGGCCTCTGCTGAACCACCAGACCCTGAGCCCAGACTCAAGGTTCCCAGGACTTGATGGCATAAGATGTAAAAGAGGGGGAAAATGAAGGGAATGGGGTCTTACATGGGACTGCCTCTAAGGTCGCTTCAAGATCTAAAATCTACAATACTATATGATCTATGATTTACTCTTACTAAGCTGTTCACTGGCTTTGTGACCTTTCCCCTTTCTAAGACTCAGTTTTTCCAACTGGATAGATTAATCTATCAATCTATCCTTCCATTTATCAAGCAGGATAGATTAGTTGATTCCTAAGGGCCTTTCCAACTCTGCTTGACATCTCTCTGGGAATCCCGCCCCCAGTTACTCAAAACATTTCAACACAGTAATTTCAAGGGGTGGGACAAATCTGATACCTGAAGCAATTCATTCCCTTGCACCTCCACCCCCGGCCTTTTTTTCCTCTAAAACACCAATACAGTTATTTAGGGAAATTACACCATAACTAATTGCTCTTTACAAAATAAAATGCTATGAAGAAGTACTGGTTTTAGGGTACATAATAAAAATTTAATTAGATTTCTTCCTCCTTTCAAATAGCAGGTCTGGTTATCCCAGTCCAGTGAGTGCTTAAGGTCAACTCCTCAGCAGAGATACACTCAGGAGGCTGCATCAGGAACTTGCCAAAGTGTGTAACAACTGATGGGTATTAACATGTCTGGCAGCTTAGGCCTAAGAAGGTTTCTGTTTACGAGGCCATCTGGGGGGCTTGGCAAGACAAATGTCTTCTAGGTACTACGCATCTCCCAAAATGAGAAAATAAATTATGTAAAGGATCTGAGAGTTGATGTTCCGGGGTGAGGTTTTCTGGGGAAAGTGAAAAGCCAAACTAAAAATGGGGCGGAGGATAATTAATAGTACAGAAATGCAGAACTGGGTTGGCAGGGGCCTCAATTTTTATGGGCTGTTTCCTCGTCTTTAGAAGGAGAGCATCAGAATAGATTTTATATATGTGTGTGTGTGTGTGTGTGTGTGTGTGTGTGTGTGTGTGTGTGTGTGTGTGTGTGTGTGTGTGTGTGTGTGTGTGTGTAGGGGGAGGAAGGGAGGGAGGTCCAGTCAACAAACACTCATTAAGCACTAAATAAGCAGAAAGAAAATGAAGGATAAGGGGGAAGGATGGAGAGAGAAAGGGGAGGAGAGAAATGAAAGGAGGAAGAAAGAGGAAAGGGCAAGATGAGGAAATGAAAGAGATTGTGGGATGGAGAAAGAAGGAAGGCCGAAGGGGAAAGGAGGTGGGGAGAGGGGAAAAAAGGAAAATTGAAACTGGGGATGTACTTAATGAAAAACAGATTGACTAAAGGGGTCAAACAGGCATTTGTGCCAGTGCTGAGGTCTCCCTGGGAATCTTTGTGTGTTGTGTAAATGCTGAGGGCATTTACTACGTGCAGGGCTTGGTTACATGTAGCATAGGTGCTGGATGACAAACCACGGAAGATGATGAGGCGGGGATCAGTAAGGAAAGAGAGGGGAAAATGTGGGTAAGGTTGTTGCAAAACTATTCTACAGAAGGAGCTGATGATTTCCTAAAACTACAGCCAAGCTTTCGGCCCTATCTTGAAAGCTGCAAACTGTAAGACCCCACTTCCCAGTTTTGCAATGTTTATTAAAGGCATTAGGTACAGTTTGGAATGTCAACTGCAGTCTAATGTTACCTGAGAAATTTGTGGCAGGCCTCCACAGTCCGCCATCTAGAAGGAAAGAAAATTTGGTTTATGAGGGGAAACAGCATGAAAAAACCACATACCATGTAGATGTGCTTGCTCAAGTTTTTCAGGAAGCGACAACCACCAATGAATTTCCTGGTTTTTAAATCAGGTGGCTCCCTAGCACATTACTGGAGCTTTTTTCCACACTACTTCCTCCCCTCACAGACTTGACTGTCCAGCCAAACTAGCCTTCTATGCTTGTTATATAATGGTCTCCCATTTCCCACCTCTGGACCTTTGCAAAGTCCATTCCCTACACCTGGAACACACTCCCTTCTTCTCCTCTGTCTTCAAATCTAAGTTTACTTCAAAACCTTCTCCTTCAAGAGGCCTTTCCTGATTTCTCTCAATTCTACTGGTTTCTTCTCCATTCCTTGGAAATTATCTCGTATTTACTTTATAATTATGTGTTTTATATATATATATACACACACACATGTGTATGTTATATATGTATATGTGTGTTACACACACACACACACACACACACACATATATATATATATATATGTATATGTATAAAACTATAAACATGCATGTTATTTTTCCAGAATAGAATGCTAGCTCACGGTAGGTGTTGTCTCCTTTCTGTTTCCCTAGTGCCTAGCACCGTGCCACACTGGGTAATTAATAAGTGTTTACTGACTGATCTGGGCAGCTAGCTGGCAGAGTGGAATTGGAAGGGCCTTATCTTGTTACTTATTAAACTTGTTACTTATTAAACCCATCTTTGGGAAGGAGATGAATTTTGAAAGGACAGGAGGCCCCAGCCCTCTCCTCCTTGACCAAGCTCAAAGCTTCATAAGGCTTCATGGGAGGGCAAGGGGGCCCTGGTGGGACTCCTCTCCCTTCCTCTCATGGAACTGCTAGCCCCTCCCCAAATCCAGGTAAGAGAAGAGTCTGGTGACTCCCTTGTCCCCCTAACAGGGACCTACCAGAAATTCCAAGCAAATGGACTATTTGTAACCAACTCATTATGTTACACCTGTTATAAAGCAACAGCCAGATAAATCTACTGGCCATTGGCTTATTGGCTTCCCCTTCAGGCTAGCTTTAAAATCCATTAGGGAATACATTCCCAAACAGACAGTCAGCAGAGCCCTTGGCTGGACTCCAGTGCCTGGGCCTGCCCTTCAATGGCCTTGAGAGTCAAGGTCTCCCTGTCTCTGGCTTCCTGGGCCAGCAACTGCCCTCCTTTATGGAAGGGGCACTGAATAAAATGCAACCCTTCCCTGAAATCTGCTGTACTGCTAAGGACAAGTCATGAACTCTCTCTGAGCATCAGTCTCTTCCTCTGAAAACGGAGGTGAACACTACAAGGCTGTTGTGAGGAAACGCTCGTTAAGCCTGAAAGAACTTACAGGGGTTGTTATTCTCTGTCCTGTCATCAAAGATCTATACACTTGGGAAAGGAAGGTTATGCACTGAGACTGAAGGCTGAGACGATCCAAGTGTTACACCAGTAGGCATCCAGAAAAGAGTGTAACAAATGGAAAAACATGTATTACATTCTTTTTTTTTTTTTAGGCAATTGGGGTTAAGTGACTTGCCCAGGATCACACAGCTAGTGTGTGTCAAATGTTTGGTCTGAGGCCGCATTTGAACTCAGGTCCTCCTGACTTCAGGGCCAGTGCTCTATCCACTGCACCACCTAGCTGCCCTCATTTATTACATTCTTACTGGGCAGCAAGGTTACAGCACTGGGCCTAGACTCAGGAAGACCTGAATTCAAATCTGACCTCAGCTACTGACTAGCAATGTGACCCTGGGCAAATCACTTAACCCCGTTTGCCTCAGTTTCCTCATCTGTAAAATGAGCTGGAGAAGGAAATGGCAAACCACTCCAGTATCTTTACCAAGAAAACCCCAAATGGGGTCACAAAGGGTCGGATACAGCTAAAAAAACAACTGAACACATTCAGGCACTATACTAAGCCCTAGAGATATGAATACAAGTGAGTGAGGTAGTCCTTGTCCTCTAAGAACTTATATTCTAATTTGAAGCAGCTGGGACAGAGCATACTGAGCCTGGAGCCAAGAAGAGTTTAGTTCCAATACAGTCTCAGACACTTACTAGTTTTGTAAGGGACTGCGTCTCTTTGACACAGTTTTTCCATCTGTAAAATGGCACCTCTCTCCCAAAGGTGTTGTGAAACTCAGATGAGATAATAACTGTAAAGCATTTAGCACAGTGCCTGGCACACAGTAGGTGTTACATAAATGTTAGCTATTATAAGCTATTGGGAGAATACACATGCCTCCATAACGTGGCCTTTCTGTGGAAAATTTATGGAAAAACAGGAGACAAAAATGAGGAAGCATGGTGGTGATCAGTACCAGTGTAGTAAATACCCACACAGACAAGATCCACAAAACAGGGTCCTTCTCGACGTGCTGCTGCTCCTTATGGACAAAGGCTATTCGAGTTTTATCTTTCTATCCTCAGCACCCAGTATAGTACTTGGCACTGACTGGTTCCGGAAGCCCTCCCTAACACCTATCTTTCCTTGGTCTATACTTGGGCTCGGTGTCCTTTGGATTCCCAAGAGAACTTGCATTTATCCAATAAATAAACGCAATACACAGACCCCCTCTGTGTGTCCCTCACCTTGACCTAGACTCCACACCTGACTATGGACTTTACCACTATGACTAGAAATTCCCTTAGTTCCTGGAACTTTCCCAACCTGAAACATTCATCTACCACGCTGAGCTCCTTGTTCCACTGGTGAGTTCCTTCCAGCAGCCTCCATTTTGAAGACAGGCACAGGCTGACCATGCTTCATTCTCCTCTTGGCTGTGCTTCTGACTCTCTGGCCTTGATTTCCCACCCCCCTTCACCCCCACTTTTATCAGCTCCCTTTTTTATGTGGTGTTCCCTCATTAGAATGAAACTCCTTGTACAGGAACAATACAACAAATAAATGCTTCCTACCTGTCTGTCTTTCCCTCCCCTCCCCTCCCCTAGCTTCCCCTTCCCCAACATGCCCATTCATTCACCATGTTACCTTTAGGAGTGTGGTCTTGGTTGGATCCAGTTTAGAGTTGCACTCCACCTATATAAGAGAAGGACAGATTTGCCTGTGTTATCTTTGCTTTCAGAGAGATCTCATACCTACAGCTGAGGCTAAAAAAACTCCCCTAATTCATGCCCTCAGTTTCTTTCTAAACATATTACGCAAACCATTACCATCCCTTGGGCATGTATCCTCTTCCTGCATAAAAGGTAATGAATTACCTTTAGAGCCCCTTTTATTTTTAAAATTCTACAGAATAACAGGATTAAGAGCTGGAAAGGATGTTAGAAGCCCCCTGGCCAACCGTACCCCCACCCAGTGCTGGGAATCCTTCTGTAAGAGCCCCTACAAATTGTTACTTAGCCTTTATATAGACAAAAGCTTAAGGGACAGGGGGAATCACTACCTCCCTGTTTCTGGCCCTAACTATAATGAAATTCTTCCACCCACTGAGGCAAAATCTGCCTCCCTCTAACTTCCATCTACTGGCTTTGGTTCTGCATTCTGGAACCACACACAAACAAACCCTACGTTCTATTTTCTTTTTCTTACATGATAGCTCTTCACCCATTTCACAGATTCTCTGAACTAGAAGAGACTTCAGTGTTGCCTGAGAAGCTATTTCCCTTTTGACATCCTCATTAAGTGTTTGGCTGGGACTCGTAACCCACCTACTTTTTTGCCTTTTCTCCTCTAGGTTAAACATCCCCAGTCCTTCAACTGGTTCCAAATGGTGCCTGCCTCTGGATACGAACCAGTCTGTCAAGCGTTATTCCTAAAATGTGGAACCCTGAATTCAACACAGAACAGTTCCCCATCATCTGAGCAGCTCAGAGGCTTATCATATCTCTCATTCCAGACACCATCTTTCTGTCAATGTAGTCTGGGGTCACACTAGCTTTTGGAGTAGCTACATGATAATAAGAAAGCATAAATCACCTACTGTGTGTCAAGCACTAGGGGTACAAGAAAAGGAGAAATTAATTCCTACTCTCAAAGAGCTTATGTGCTTTTAGTTCAAAAAAACAAAAACAAAAACAAAAACAAAACACACTCCCAACCCCAATCTTTCTCATGAACACAGAAAGGGAGCCAGGACTCACTTATGTTATGTTTGGACAACATAGGTTTCTAGAATCAACAACCTCCAATTCTCTCCCTGGCCACAGAGTGCAGGTAGGACCATATTCCACATATGACAGATTTTTCTCTTCAAATGGAGCTTCTTCCCCTCCCTTCTCCCCCAATCCAGAATTCTAGTAAAACCCAAGAGACTGAACCCACCTGCTGGGCATTTATCATAATCATCATTTCCTCGGGTTTTCCCTCAACCACCCTGACAAGAGGGTCAAGCACCCTCAGCTCTGTCTTGCCACCCAAAAGCTCAGCAAGCCACCTGGAGGTCCAAGAACGAAATGGCAAACTTGCCCATAAAAAAAAAAAAACAGCCGAGGAAAAGCAGCCAAGAAGACATGGAGAAAAGAGATGCAAGGCCCTGTTGCCAGGCAACAGAAGCCTTGAGAGAATGGGTTGTCCCTGCTGAACATGGCAGCAGACAAAGATGCCAGCTGGTTTTCCGAGTTAAGGCTGAGATGGCATTTAGGTGAAATCATCCGACGACCAGCGTAGGAGAAAAGGAGGAGGGCATCAGGGGCAGAGTGGATGAGCAGCCCCAGATGGATAACTGAAAGGAAGGAGTCTACTTTAATAGCCAGTCTCAAGATCTTGGCTTTTTCTCCACCCTGGATAGACAGTGGCTGGCAGTGTTCTGTGGCTATGACTTCTACCGAAAAATGATACACCTTGTGTAGACCTGCCTTGGAGCAATTAATAAACAACCAAACCCCTAGACAACCTTGGAAAGGAACAGAGGACCTTGGGCAGAGCTGCTTGGCAGAGGGGCAGAATCTGCTCTCTCCTAGAGAATGGCCAAAATCCTAATGGTCAAACACTTATCAAATGTTGGGTAAGAATAAGGTGTCACAGCACCTAAGAGCTCCAGATTTCGAGTCAGAGGACCTATGTTCAAATCTCAACTCTGCCACCTCATATAATCCCAGAATCCTAATGGTCAAACACTTATCAAATGTTGGGTAAGAATAAGGTGTCACAGCACCTAAGAGCTCCAGATTTCGAGTCAGAGGACCTATGTTCAAATCTCAACTCTGCCACCTCATATAATCCCAGAATCTCACAACTATGACAAGTGGGCATCCCAGGCTTTAACCTCCAAAGAGGGGGGGACCCATGATCTGGATCACTCAACATCAGTCCATTTTTTCTGACTATCCCCCAAATCTGGAATGTTCATCCTCCTCTTCCTCTCTGCCTGCTGGCTTCAAGATCCAGCTAAAATCTTGCCTTCATCAGGAAGCTTTTCCTAATGCCCCTTAAGGCTAGGGCTTTCCCTGGGCTGATTATCGCCTTTTATCTGGCACATAGTCATTTGCATGTTGTTTCTCCCAATAGACTGTGAGCTCCTTGAGGACAGGGATTATCCTAAGCCTTTCTTTGTATCCCCAGTGCTTAGCACAGTGCCTGACCCACAGTATACACTAAATAAATTCTTATTGACTCACTGGCACATAATATGTCCTTTATAAATACTTAACAAATGACTCACTGAGTTCCTTCAAACATTCCTCATACGGGAGCCCAATCCTTCCTCAACAAGGCACGAAAAGCATGTTCTCAAATTTTTATATTCTGACTCTCTGGGCCTCAGTTTCCTTGTTCCAAATAAGGAAGACAAACTCAGTCATCTCAAAGAACTCCTCCAACTTTAGATCTTGCAGTCTTGTAGAAGAGGTTTGAACAAGCCAGTAGGAAAGATGGTCTTTAGAATTCCAGCCCTTTCCTTATTAGAAAGGGGAGGAAGGAGAGGAACTTTTTTGCTTCCCAGGGCTTTTGTAAACAATAGCATCTGATGTCTCTTATACACCTTCCTTGACAGCTGACTACCCAGCCAGCCCTTACTTAGAGCACTTTCAGTGACATACAACTCACTCTTTCCCAAAACCAGCCAATTTTACTTGGGTCCTTTCCAATCACTAGAAAGTACTTCTTCAAGCTGAGCCTAAGGCCGCCTACCAGAATCTTCCAGCCACACAATGCAGAGCAAAGTAAACAGAACCGGGGGGAACAATTTACATTATGACCACATTTACATAAAGGAAAACAAGATTAAGAGACCTCAATGCAATGATCTGGGGTGATTTCAGAGGATGGCTGACTAAGCCTGTTAGCTGCCTCTTGGTAATTTACAGGTGTGTAATGAAGCATACTTTGTCATTCATGGACAAGCTTAACTTGTTTTTCCTAACTTATTCCTTTGTTACAAGGGAGAGAGTAAAAGTTTTATGGTGGAAAAGGGAGGAGATTGTCAGTGGGAAGTGACTCGGATGATTTTTTTTTAAAAGAGCATCAATAAGACATTTTTTAAATTCCACCCAATAATTATATTTTGCCCTCAGGAATTAAGTCTACTTTCTCTTCTGTCAACACCTCTTCAAATACAAGAAGAGACAAGATCATGTTTCCTCTAAGTATTCTTTTTCTCCTCTGGGCTACACAGCCTTTGTTTCTTATACCCTCCTCACTGGACATGATTTTGAATCCCTTTACCATCTTGTTCATCCTCCTCTGAACTATGTCTAGCTTATCCATGCCCTTCCTAAAAAGTGGTACCCAGAACTCATCACAATACTCCATGTGTGGTCTGATGAGGGCAGAGTTCAATGGGATTCTCACCTCCCTGTGAGACACTGTGCCTCTCTCTCTTTCCTTCCTTCCTTCCTTCTTTCTTTCTTTCTTTCTCGAACTAGGCAATAGGGTTAAGTGACTTGCCCAGGGTCACACAGCTAGTAAGTGTTATGTGTCTGCGGCCGGATTTGAACTCAGGTCCTCCTGAATCCAGGGCCGGTGCTCTATCCACTGTGCCACCAACTGCCTCTGTGCCTCTTTCTATAGTCTAGATTAGAGCATAGGTTCCCAAAGTAGGTGATACTGCCCCCTGAGGGGCTCTGGAATGACCCAGGAGAGTGGTAGTAGCCTCAGGTGTAATTGGGGGGCATTGAATAAAAATAAGGGGGCAGTAGAGGCATAAAGAAGAGAATTTTGAAAAACAATTAGTACATGTTTCATCTGTTGTGTAACATAATTAAAGTCGTAGTGATTATATTATTTTCCAAATAAACATACAAAATGCAAATTATAACCTATCAGTCCACTGACAGGTCTTGATAAGCAAGTGTTGACAGGCAAACCTGTCAAGCATTATTGGGAAGTCTAGCATGCATCAGCAGGAGTATGTGCATGTAATGACTTGTTTACAGTATGATACTATACAACCACAGTAGTGCATCATCAAAACTTCAACACAGGAAAAAGCTCACAGATTTACAATAAATTATTAAATTTAAGATATCATTTTAAAAAAAATTTATATTTTCTTGAAATGATGCAAATTTAAAAAAAAACCGTTACAGGGTTAAAGAAACTAGATTTCCAGGGAGGCTCTAAGTAATTTTTTTTTTAAAAAAAAGGGGCAATAGGCCAAATGAGTTTGGGAGTATCTGGTCTTGACAGAGAGAGAAAAAATACTTAGGACAATACAACTGAGTTAAAGGGGATTATTTTGTAAACTAGCTGGCACATCGTATTTACTCGTCATTCATACTCTGGACCTTTCCAATACACCAGCTGATAAAACTCTTACTTTATAGCAAAGCTGTAATTACGGAAAACTGAATAATACATACCACGGCATCCACTGCAGGTGAATTGTCTCCAACCACTAACAATGCAGGGCACCTAGGCATGGTCAGAGAGAAAGGAAATATGTTGGTCCTAGGGGCCAGCAGTAAGAAAACAGAGTCCTCGCCCTGTACGCGCTCTTCTCCCTACATGCCCACCTCATCATCTCTTTACTATTCTTTCAGATACTTGTCCCTGCTCCTCACTTTCTTCAGCCCATCAAAACCCACTCGCAAGAAAGGTTCAGTTAGCAATCTTATACACCTTAGTGTGAATATAAATTAAGTGGACCTTACCGGGGATATTTTCATTTTGAGTTTTCTAACAACCGAATACAAGGTTTTGTCTTAAGATGAAGCGGATGTCAGTCATAGGTGGATTTCATGCATCTAAGCGTAGAAGCTGGGCCTTCTGGCCCCCCCCATAAAAATCTACCAAATGGGCAACTATGTGTAAGTCCAGCCCTGTACTTACACATGTAAGAAGCAATTTTGTGTGCAGAAGCAATTAATACTACCCCAGTGGACACTGTTCTGTTTTTCGAAAAAGCCAGCTTTATCACCATCCTGGCAGGCTGGAACTAGGGGTATACGTGAAACTGCAAGTAGCTCATTCTCCATCTACCTGACACGGCTTGTGGGGGGGCTACTGTCTTGGGTACTGGTCCCAGAAAAACAAATGGCAACTCCAGCGAAAAAGGGACCCGAGATGCCCACCAAAGGAAACTCTTTGCTTGTGGCTGCCATGATACTTGGCTAAGCCTTTACATCTGCACATTAGGGAGGAAAAAAAACTGGACTATAAATCAGAAAACCTAACAACACTGTCTACTTTTAGCCTATCTTTTTTGTTTTAAGGTTTGCAAAGCACTTTCCAAATGTTATCTCTTTTAATCTTCACAACAACCCTACAAGGCTGATACTATTATTATCTGTTTAACAGATGAGGAAACTGAGGCCCAGGGTCACATAGCTATTAAGTGTCTTAAGGAAGAATCTGAACTCGGGAATTCCTTTGCACCACCTAGAGTTTGAGGTTCAGCTCCATCACTAACTTGTTGTTTGCCCCTGAGAGCATGATTTCTCTCTTCTGGGCTACAATGTCTACAATAATAAAATGGAGAGCAGAATGGTAAGGGCCAAATGAGGTAATTTATGTAAAAGTGGTTTAGAAATGTCAGTTTGGGAAGGGATCATGGGAATTCTAGGAAAGGTTCAGTTTGCAAACAGACACGTGGAAGACAGCCACTTACTGCAGGGTGACAGCATTGGTTCCAGGGAGAGGACGCTCGATTTCTAGATCCCGGCGACTGTGGAAATAAGCCAAAGTAATTAACAGATGCTGACTCCCCAGAGGCAGGAGAGAAAGATCAATTGCATGAAGGACCTGGGAGCAGACCTCCTCCTCCCTCACCCTTTAGGATGACTAGCCCAACTCCACGTACCACAAAACCAGTCCAAGTCACCTGGGGTGCTAGGCCACAGAGCCTTCTTGCCTCCACTGACTTATGTGAAAACATGCCTGGTGGAAGCCAGGGTCTGCTAGCAGACCAAGGCATGGCCACTTACTAGGAAACAAGCAGAATTCTTTCACATAGGGTCTTTCTCATGGCCCCTACAACAAGGGTTCCCAACCTTTCATGAGAAGCAAATACCTCCCACATTCCTAAAGTTGTGACAGCCCTGGGTGGGGGAAAGATTGAAAATGGTATTGGCTGTGAAGTTCTATCTCTATAGAATGAGGAGAAGAAGGGTGCTACTCGTGATACTCTCCCTCCTTCGTATTACAAGTAAAGCCACCCAAGACCCTGGATGGGGCCAGGGAAGTAATAATCATTTTGAAGATTTGCTAACCAAATTTTAGGTCAGTTTCCTCAGTTTCCAAAACTAAGATGACGTCTAAGATACCTTAACAACTCTAAACTTCTCGGTTTTAAGGTCCCTTCTGGCTCTGACATTTTGTACATAACATTCTGAGGTTCCTCCTATCTCTGACTTTCTAGGTCCAAAGACCCTTTCCAACACTGAGATTCTATGTTCTGAGATTCCTTTCAGAACTAACATTCTATGCCCAAACGGTCCTTTCTAATTCTAACACTGTAGGTTCAAACGTTTTATATTTCACAGGCGTTTTGCACCTCCAACTTCACAGGTTCTAACATTTTATGTTCTATTAGGTTTCTCCCAGCTCCAATGTTCTGGATTCTAACATTCTACGTCCTATTGGGTCTCTCCCAGCTCTAACGTTCTAGGTTCTAACATTCTAAGTCCTATTTATTAGGTCTCTTCCAGCTCCAACATTCTAAGTTTTCAGGTGTCTTCCTGCTCTAGCACTGTAGGTCCTGACATTTTATATTCACAGTTCTCCTCTACCTCTAACATTCTAGGTTCTAACATCTGATGTTCCACAGACCCTTCCAGTTTATTCTATGGCTCAAAGATTTAATAAATCTATTATTCACTCTGGGGTCTGAAGAGGTGTTTTGTATCCTGTGCTCTGCCCTGGGCACACAGCAGGGTCGGCACATTAAAAATACTGAATGACTCTGACCTATGAAAGAAAATCCTACACAGTTATAGCTGTTGGGAACCTTGGAGAACATCCAGTCCTGCCTCTTCATTTTCTAATGAGAAAACTGAAAGCCAATGAGAGGAAGTGACTTGGTGTAGGTAACAAAGCCAGTTACCTGTTGTAGGCATTAATGAAGAGATGGAGATTGCTTGGGTTCATGTCATTGATGATATGATGGCGGTAGGTGTGCACCACCTCCACGTTGTTCTGCATTTCTTCCTGTGATTAAGAAGGAAAGGGTGAGGGAGAAGAAAAAACATCAATGACCTCACCATCTAACAGGCCATACTAGAAGGCAGGGATGGAAATGGAAAGCCGCAGTCAAGTTTGGCCCAATTAGGAAAAGTTTCAGGGCCTCTGATATTTACTAACTAGCTGGCTGACCTTGGGAAAAGTCACCATCTCTTTGAGCTTCAGCTTCCTCATCTGTAAAATAGGTGTAATACTACCCATAACACTGCCCACTCCAGTGGACTGTGGTGAAGGAATATTGTAAACATTAAGGCACCATGAATATGTGAGCCACTAGGGCTGGAAGTGGCATTGAGATCATCCAGTCCAAATTCCAGGCCCACGAAGGAATAGTAACCCAAACAACTACAGAGAATCAGGGCTGGAGTTCAGAATTCTGGATTCAGTCATCTCTCCTCCATACTATCTACCCTGCCTTGTCTGCTTGAAGGCCAACAGTACCAGTGGAGCAAATGACATTTTTAAGCCACAAAACAGGGGGCAGGGCAGGAGCATTTCAATCTACACGAAGCTTGGCCCCAAATCAGCACAAACTCAGTTTCTTTGTCCTTTCTTGTTGATTTTTAGGAAAGGCCAGTCGTTGGCCAAACAATAACTCAAAACAGCACACCCTTTGGCTTGGAAGCCCTAGGGATGAGCACAGGCTTGGAAGTGTCAGCCTAATCAGTAACATCGAGGGCTAGAGGAGGAGGCGGCAGAGACCCTGATGAGACTGTGTTGAGCTGGTGCTGTTGTCAAAACGGAGTCTGGGATTATTTAAGGAAGAAAAAGGTCAATCTGCTACAACCACCACTAGAAGAATTAGCCTGTGAGTAACACTCTTGTCCTTTCAGATTAAAACCAAGTGGCAGAAATTGGTGGCTAAGGAGCAAGCTATGTGTGCTCCCACACGTGTGCTCCCAGAGGGACAAATAGGTCTAGCATCATAACTGATGCACAGCATAGTCTGGGATAACTCTAAGGGTGAAGGTGTATTTTCATTAGCCTCTAACTGAAATTTACCCTTCTCTTCAATTACGAATGTAGATCATTATTATTCTGAGAAGGGGGTCCATATGCCTCATCAGAGTGCTAATGGAGCACAGGAATCACAAAAGGTTAAGAAGCGCTCAGCTCACTCAAGGACATTAAAGGTAGCCAGAACAAAAATGTGCCTTGGACTTAAGGGAGCCCTCCTTGAAAAGTGTTTAGTCATGGAAAGATGTAAAGGTGGTGAGGGATGATGGCCTCTGTCTGTAAGCATCTGAAGGGTTCTCATGAGGAAGAGGGACGTGTGACTCCAGAAGGCAGAACCCAGGAGCCATGGATGGGAGTTCCTGGGAGACAGATTTTAGCTCAGTATATGCAAGACCTTCTCAACAATCAAAAGTGCCCCACAACAGAATAAGCTGTCTCATAAAGTAGTGAGGTCCCTCCCTGTCAATGGAGGTCCTGAAGGAGAATCTAGATGACCTCTAAGTGATGTGGGATGTTTAAATGGAAGACAAGTGGAAGATCACTTGTTAACTCTGTGGTCAAGGGATGAATGCTCAGGCAGAGGACTTTGGGGTACCTTCAAAATGAATGGTTCTAACTTCAGAGAAGAAGATCTCTGAAATTCTAAGATTCTATGGACCCGAAAAAGAGGTTTTAGCTCTTCAAGGGTTGGAGATGAGTTACTGCCAATGAGCTATTAATACAGACCAGTGTGAGTACTGAAGAAAGAAGATGGGGGGAGCCCCTCCCTGCACCTTACACTCTCCACTCCAACTCACTCCCCCAGCTAAATCAAACCTGAGTGAGGTCTCAATAGCAGCTAAAAGTCTAAATGTAAAAAATATAATTGTCACTTACTGACAAAGAAATTTGAAGCATCTATATTAAAAATGAGTGAGGAGGTAGGGGTCTATGGGGAGTGGAATGGTGCATATGATGTCAATTTTTTCAGGCTATTGATTGGCTTTGAAGGAATTTTTTTCTATTCCCTTTAAATTTTTTTTTTTTTACTATCTAAGAGATGGTTGTCCACCAGGAGGGCTAAAGAAGAGGGATATAGGGGAAAAATCATTAAAAAGATATCAATAAAAACAAACAAAAATGGATGTAAGGAGGTTGACAAAGAGGATGCATACCACAAAATAAAATCACATCTATGAGCCAAGCTTCCATAGAAATGTAGTTTCCTCCCCTGGTGTTGATGCTCAAGTCTACTTGGGGTATACAAAGGTACCACTTTTATAAAACGAGATGCAGGGAAGTGATCAATATTCTCCTTAGACACCACATCGTCTGGGCTGGTGTCATGCTTTCTCTGCATGGAGCTGATGTGTTCTGAGGGATGTGAATTTAGAGGGGTACAGAGGGGGTCGGGGTTGGGTCCTACGATATTATAAGATTTGACCCAATGACTCACCTTCCCAAACAGATGAGACACCACCATATCTGGAAGAGCTTGAGTCCACCCAGAGATCTAAACCAGATAAAACAAAAACAACAATAACAAAATGAGAGACAGTCAAGTCACTGAACTGTGCGTACCCTTGGATTCAGAGATCCCACTTCTGGGCATAAATTCCCGCCCCCCTTCCCCCCCCCCGGGGAAGTCACTGACAGAAAGAAAGGCTGTTCACAGCAAAATATTCACAGCAACACTCCTTGTGGTAGCAAAAATTGGAAATCAAGGGAGGACCTATCTATGGGAGAAAACCTCAACAAAATGTGGAATGTGAATGGAATAGAAGACTATTATTCTGTCAAAATAAAAAGACTAAATGGAATTGTGGGAAGTATAGATGCTCTGATACGGAATGACAAAGGAAGACCAGGAGAAGTGTAAACAATGACAATACAAACAAAAACCAAACTAAAAGACAGCCAAATTAAGATTAATTGCAATGAACAATCTCAGTCTCTCTTCTTGGTAGAGTACTGAACTATAGGTGTCATAGATATTGTTTAACTTATCACACACGGCCATTTGTCAGTTGGGTTTTGCCTAATTTTTCCTTATTACAAAAGTAGAATGACTCCAAGGGGGAAGGAGAGTGGGATGCTGAGAAATGATCTTATGTAAAATGAAGTCAAAATACAACTTTTTTAACCCCCCCCCAAAAAAAAATGACGGGGAGAAGCTATTGTTAGAAACAGAGAGGAAGCTTACCAGCAAATGTGACCCAAGGTCACTATCAGAATAATGCTATGAGCTAAGACCCCCCTGGCTTTTCTCTCAAGCCTCCTGAGAGGCTGGGTCCTAATCATGCCTGATTTTAAGAGTTGTGATTTTAGGCATTATTTAGTCCAACCCTTTTGATATAGAGGGGAAGAAACAGAGGCTCTGAAGCTTGGCAGGGTTCTTTCCACTACACAAACTGCTGAACTGGGATTTTTAAATAAATCCGACCTACTGTGAAAGGTCTCAGGCTGATACAGAGCTTGGGGTTCTGTTATAGTCACAAGTCTAGAGACCACTCAGGCCAATAAATCCTCTACACAATATCACCAATCATCCAAGCTATATCTGAAGACCTCCAGTGAAGGGGTGAGGGGTGGGAGGGGCACCCCCTATACCCTGACCCACGCTTGAGGAGGAGGGAAAGACATAGCACAGATGAACTCAACGTGCCAGTAGCATTAAGCCTTTGGCTGCTGAGATGACTTCACTGCCTCCATGTCACTTGATAGCCACCCAAGTCTGGCAAAAACACATTTTCAAAATGAAAAGTCAGAACTGCTCCCAGACTGAAAGGCTATATAATCTCATTTCATCTGGAACAATTTATTCTCTCCTTGGCAAAGATCTGAGATCCTTCCAAAAATATATATATTTTTTTAAAAACCAATAAATGCCTAGCTAAGAGTTGCATGGGTCAGTGCGAGCTTAGAGGGACCCTTGCTGCCTCAGGAAGGGGTCGACTTCAGAGACCCATGCTGTTTGAGGCTATTCCCACCCACGTTTGCCGAGAGCTCCCAGCTGAGGGGCAGCACAGGCCAAAGAAAATGCTTTTTTGCAGGAATAAGACAGAGCTCGATGTGCTGCTTCCTATCAGGGCAGATCATGGCTCCCTGCCTGCAGCTCTCCTTACAGAAAACACATGCACGTTTCCAAAGCTGCATTTCTTTACCTTGGTCGCTGCCCAGTCCATCCACCCTTCAGCGCAAGGGTTCACGTTGATGAGAACAAGTCCTTCCACCATTTCTGGGTGGTTCAGCTGCAAAGGAAGACAATAAAGTCAGAGAGTACACCGGGCAGGCAGAAATACTGATCTGTAGCTGGAAGGGTTCTCAGGGGCCAAAACAGACTAGAGGGCCTTATTGCAATTACTTAAGTCTATTTCTTCATCTGAAATATCAGGGACAGATCATCTCTAATGTCTCTTCTAGCTATAAAGTCAATGATCCCATTTACCATAAGCTACCAGGTATCAGACCTGGCATTTGGACCCAAGGCTAGGTATTATTTTCCCCTCTCACTATAGTTGGAAGTTGGAAGGAAATCTCAGTGGCCATCTGAACCAATCCATACCCAAAAGAAACCCTCAGTATAACACAGCTAGCCATCTTTTGCTTCAAGACTTCCAATGAGGGGGCATTCACAGCTACCCAAGAAAGCTGTTAGGGAAGCCTAAACTGGACACTTGGCAGCTTCCACCACTTACTGCTCCCGAGCAGCCTGGATTGCTAGGGAGATGTCCTGTTGTTGTTGTTGTTCAGAAGAGCTGTGTCTAACTCTTCATGACCCCATGCGGGGTTTTCTTGGCAAAGATACTAGAGGGGTTTGCCATTTCCTTCTCCAGCTCATTTTACAGATGAGGAAACTGCAGCAAACTGGGTTAAGTGACTTGCCCAGGATCATGCAGCTCATATCTGAGGCTGGATTTGAACTCAGGAAGATGCTCCAGACCCGGCACTGCATTAGGAAAGGTCCTAAATGTAAGCTATTATATTATCCTTTCATTCTCTCTACTTCAGCCTGCATCCCCACCCCACACAAAAGGGTCATTTAGCTCAAGTGGAGACATGGTCCTACTCCTATTAAATTTAAATTCTTTTAAGAAGTTCTGGAAATTGAGCAGAGAATGCAGATACCCTGCTTGCCAAAGCCAAGAGGGATGTATTTCATCTTTAAACAACATGCAATTGTTTCAGAGGAAAAGCCACCCTCCACCCATTGGAAGTCGGGCATGACAGGATAACGGTCTGTCTGTCTGTGGTCCTGTGTCCACTGAAATGAGCTCAAATGTTTCAGAGAGGCCAAGAGACTTACAGCAAATCGAGTTAAGATGTAGGCACCAGCTCCGGTTCCCATTCCAATCACGCTCTTCAGTCTGTAGAAAGAAAACAAGTGCCCCCCGCAAGAGAGTGAGAGGACCTCCTGTTAAATGGGACCGAGAAACCCACAAACAACAAAAGCCCAGTTTCTGCTCCAGTTACCTGCCCCCTTCTGATGAGGTCAGATTTATGTCGAGTTGACAGCTAGCTCAACAGTCACAATGGCGTGCCATCAAAATTGCAAAGTGCTCTCCTTTCCCCCAAACAAATCACGGTTTTGTAACTAGACAGGGGAGTGTGACCTCTCCATTTCTGTGGCTTTGTGCCCTTCCTTCCCTGTGTCCCAAGTCTCTGAAAACCAGATTTGTGACATTTACTGGAATGACTATTACAACACACTCCATCTCCCTGCTTGGAAAGCCTAGCTCTGCACTTGATGGGTAAAAAAGAACATGGTCCTGGGGTCCCTAGGGAATGGAGGCAGGAGAATGGACGCAAGGATAGCTCTTACTGTACAATATTTCTTTAAAGAAGCAGTCTTAAATAAAATAACAGAAGAGGAGAAAGTAAATGGGAAGAGACAAACATTAAGGGACCATTTCTACTCAAAGGGCAAGATGTAGCCAGGGTGAAAGTTGGAAGTAGGGAAGGTTACCTACTAACTGTGGCCCCTTAACCCCTCCATGTTCTTCTAGTCTACCAGCCCTGTAATAAGTCTAATTTCCTTCCTTACCGAGTCTTGAATCTCTATAACCAGATCTTTCTCTTCTATATTGCGCTCCTCTGCCCCCTTTCCTTTCTACCACTGCTGCCCTGGCATGTCTCAGTGCTGGGCATGTAGTAGGTGCTTAATTTAGGTGAACTGACTGGACATCTCCTTACCATCTACAAACTATACTGCTATACTCCCAGATGGCTGGACACAATGGAAGGAAATTAAGCTGACTTACAAAAAGCAAACTTTTTTTTTTGGATAGCATCTGCCAATTTTTTTTTAAATTCTTAATTTATGGAATAAAACAAGCATTTCCATAACACAGTACAATAAAAAAGATGACTGCATGTAAAACTATAAAAGCAAATTTTTCAGAGAGCCTTACAAACACACATATGCACACCTCTTCTGACAGATCAAAACCTCTCTCTATATTCAAGCGCATTTGGCCAAAAAAGTATTCAAACCAAAGGAGCCATTTAAAAAGACAAAAACTGTTTTCCAATGCCAACACATTTGTTTTTCTTACCCAAACTGGTGGAGAATTCCAGGAATCATTTCAGCCAGTTGATCCATGGAGGGATACATGTACCTGGTGGGACAAAAAGAGTTAGTACCACCTAATAACAAAGCCCAGTCACCCAGAGGAGGCAAGTCACTTCACCCCAAACTGACTCGGTTTCCTCATCTGTAAAATAAATGAGTTGAACTAGATGCTTTCTAAGGCCTCCTCTAGCTCCAAATCTATAATGCTGATCTTTCTGTCTATAGCAAAAGTGGAAAATCAGAAATCAAAGCCTTTCCTACCAAGATAGTGTCAGAGTCCTTGAAGACCTTGGCCATATGGGGTATGGGATATATAGGGCTTTATTATGATAATGGTGGTGCTGGTTATGGTGATGATGGTGGTAAAGATGGTGGTGGCGGTGATATTTGGCTTAGGGCGCCATATTTTAGGAAGGAAATTGACAAAATGGAATACATTCAGAGGGGAAAACTAGGATGGTGAGAAGCCAGAAAACACAAACATCCAAGAATCAGCGTAAGGAGCAGGCAATTTTTAAAGTGGAGAAGACTCAGGGGGAAGATAAAACGGCTGTTTTCACATATTTGAAGAGGGAGTAGTCTTTTTCTACTTGGCCCTGGTGGGCAGAATTAGTATGAAGCTGCAGAGAGGCAAATTTTAGCTCAATAGAAAGAAAAACCTCCTAATAACAGGACAACTCCAGAGGTGCAGTAGCTGGGCTCCAGAACCGGAAACCTCCCTCCTGGAGGTTTTAAAAAGCAGCGGCGGGATGATCATTATTTAGTTGTAGAAGAGATGCCGGGTATGGGTTGTGGGTTAGACCGAGGCCCTTTTAATTCTGAGGTGCTATGACTCTGAAAGTCAGCAGCTGCGTGGGGCAGTAGATAGGGCACAGGACCAGGAGCCATGAAGGCCTGAGTTCAAATCTAACTTTATACCTTTACTATGTGAGTCTGGGCAAGTAACTTAACCTCTATCTGCCTCAGTTTCCTCAACTGTAAAATAAGAGTAATATTAGTACTACCTTATAGGGTTATTGTAAGGATCAAATGAGATAATATTTATGAAATGCTTGCTTAATATTATAATGCCAGACAAATAGCTGGCACTTAAATACATTTCCTTCCTCCCCCTCCCTTAATTTCTATCTGCTTTAATTTCTGTAAAAAGAAACCTCACAAGACTGTCAGGAGAATCAAATGAAATATTAGTTATAAAGCGCTTAATTAGCATAATGTCTGGCAAATAAATGCTTAATAATGTTTGTTTCCCTTCTCCTCTTTCCTTAATTTCCATCTGCCTGAATTTCTGTAAAAAGAAACCTCACAAGACTGTTAGGAGAATCAAGCGAGATAACAGCTATAAAGTGCTTACTTAGCATAATGTCTGGCAAATAGCTGGCATTTAATAAATGTTTCCTTCCTTAATCTCTATCTACCTCAGTTTCCTCAACCATAAAGAGGAAATATTATTACTTCACAGGGCTGCTGTGAGAATCAAGTAGGATAATATTTATAAAGTGCTTGCTTGGCTGGCATAATGCCTGGCAAATAATTGGCTGTCTTTTCCTTACTCCCTTCCTTTCTAAAGAAACCACAACTAGAAGCAGCTAAAAACCTTCTATCAGGCTGCAGCCTCTGAAATAGAGGGAGGCCCTAACATACACACCAGCAAATACCAGCCCTAATGCCACCTTCTTCCTCCTTCAAACCTGGCCCTGAGATAAATGGAAACCAACAGGACTGATTCTGGCCCTATACGAACCTTCTCCATTTCTGAGTCTAATCTGGCCCATGCTTCACAGGCACCATGATGTACTGGACTGAGAAGGCAAGGCTCAAGATACAGTTCTGAGTCTACCACCATTTCCAAACTATGGGACCTTGGCAAAAGTATCTCACTTCACTGGGCCTCAGTTTCTTCTTCTGGACAATAGAATAATGTTCACACTACCTCACAGAGGTCCTGTGAGGAAAGAGCTTTGTAAACCACAAAACTTCTATGGAAATATAAGCTATTATGAACAATCACTCTATGAAAAGGAGCTTTCTTCCCAGAAGATTTGCGGATTGAGCCAACACTGTACTTAAACAGTCTCCAGTGAAAATTAAGTATTTCCCAGGCTCTTGACAGGTGAAAAAAAAAGCCTGGAGATGAGAGGAAATCTAGCAAGAAATTTAGTAAGAACAGATGTAAAGATGGGTTCAAAAAATTAATTGCCTAAGTATGATGGTGGAGTAGAGACATAGCTAGGTAACAGTTCTTTAGTGGGAACTCGAGGGTTTTATGATATGACAATTTCACTAAAGTCAACAGAATGACATGACTGACAAAAAGAGTATCTTTGGCTGTGGAGTGTCTAGAAGAGCAGCTCTCTCTCTTTTTTTTGTTCTTCGGATGCATTTACATTCTTAAAAATTGAGGACCCCTCCAAAGAGTTTCTGTTTTATGTGGGTAGAAATTAAAACATCTTAGTATTATCACGCAAAGTTTTGACCTCCCGAAAGACTTTCAGGGATTCCCAGGGACCCAAAGATCACATCTGAAGAACCACTGGTCTAAAGAAAGAAACAGGATGCTAGCCACCTTGGTCATAGATAATGGTCTCGAGTACTACGTTTGGCAGGGCAAGAAAAAGAGCCAATTCAAAATAACACAGAATGATCAGTTGAAAGCACCGGGAAAGAATTAAGAGAATTAAGCTGTGTCTAAGTATTTGAAATGCCCTCATTTGGTAAGAGGGATTAGACTTGGTCTGTGTTGTTCTTACTTGTTTAAGTCGTGTCCGACTCTTCATGACCCCCTGTGGGGTTTTCTTGGCAAAGATACTTGGAGTGGTTCATTCTGCAGCTTATTTTACAGATGAGGAAACTGAGACAGACAAGAGGTTAACTGACTTACCCAGGGTCACACAGCTAGTAAGTGTCTGAGGCCAAATTTAAACTTAGGAAGATGAGTCTTCCTGACTCCAGGCCCAGCACTCTATCTACTGTGCCATCTAGCTGCCATAACCTTGGTAGGTAGGGCAAATATTTTCATCCCCATTTTACAGATGAGAAAACTGAGGATCAGAGATACCAAGTCACTTGCTCTGTTGTTCCACAGCAAGTAAATGAAGTCAGGTCTCAATATCCCTGGCTCTCAGACCATGAAAAAAAATGTATTCTTTACAGTAGTTACAGAGAAGGGACACCCCAAATTCCATGAGACAGAAGGCCCCAAACTTTTAAAGAGGCCTTTTGAGTGAAAGCTGTTGAGCGAGCAACCAAAGTGGTTCTATCCAGCCAAAGATAGATTTACTGACCACTCATTACTTTAGCAGCTGGTTAATAATTAACCAAGCCTTTGCTTTTTCAATAGGCTTTTCATTTCAATTACTTGGCCAGTGTGAGTCCCATCTATTGATGAGTTAAGGAATAAATGCCCATTTCTAATAATATCAGAAGCCCATTTTTAGTCCTTGAAGCACTCAGCTGCTCCTCGCCCCCACCAGTATCTCATTATTTGATCACATAATCAGAAGGGGGCTGGGAAAGGAGGCACCCTCCAAGAAATCAGTCTCCAGCAACGGAGTAGGATTTCCATCTGCCTAAAAGATTGAACGGGTAATATGAAACTGTGGTGGAGAAAGATCATGTTGTTTTAAGTCCCAAAGACTTTGATAATGATTAAACCACAGGCGTGGTCCATTCAGTGTGGCAGAATGGAAAGCCCATTCTCCCTGAAAAGAATCTCCCTCTATGAAGAGTCAGGAAGTTGGGCTTCTGGTCCCAGGTCTGCCACTAAGTAGGTGTACAGCATTACGCAAAGTCACTTTCTCTTCACAGCACCTTAAATTCCTCATCCAAATTCAAAAGTTTATTAAATGTCTATTACATGCCAGGCACTTTGTTAAGTGCTGAGATATAGTCTCAAGGAGCTTCTATTCTATTGCCAAGGGAAGATGTGCCCAGATCAGGAAATGCAAAATATATTCAAAAGGCAAAAGAAATCTTGGGGAAGAGATGCTAATGACTAGGAGAACCAGAAAAGGCCCCAAGTTGTAGAGAACCTGTGGCCAAGTCTGGAAGGGACTTCAGGAATTATTTAAGATAATTTCTTTAGGGGAATGGACTAGGGTACAGGACCAGGAGTCAATAAACTGGCTGAAATGAAGGAGCCCCCTTGGAGCATCACGGAAGCACCTGCTAGTACCCTTTCTTAACCACTTCCTCCCTATGTACTCTACATCTCACCGAACCTGAGAAACAGCTGTGATGTCATCACTTTTCCTTATTGGAACAGCAGCTCCAGCTTTATCAACAAATTTTGTACCTTGGACAAGTCACTACTACTCTATTTGGGTTTCAGTTTTTTCCTAAGTACCAAATGGGTTGGAGGGTGTGAGATGTTATAAGACTATAAAGGACTTTTAATCTAATTTCATTAAATCTAACCCTTGCATTTTACAAATTATGGTGATAATGGCTGACATTTATAATACAGTCCTTTCTATGTAAAGGCCCTATGCTAAGGGCTTTGCAATTTCTCTCTCACTTAATCCTCCTAATATAACCCTGGAGGTAGGGAAGCTATGATTATCCCCATTTTACAGATAAGAAAACTGAAAGTCAAGTGATTTGCCCAGGCTCACACAGCCAGTAAGTGTCTGAGGCCACATCTGAACTCAGGTCTTTCTGACTCCAGGCCTAGCTCTCTATCCACTGTACCCCCAAGGTGTCCCAAATGAAAAAAAGAAACAACAACCCAGAGGATGACTTGTAGACATTTGCTATCTTTCAATTTCTCCTCCCTTCTTCATCTCCTCAAACACATTCCTTTTATTTCTCTCCCTCCTGTGTCTTTACCCCAGGTCTAACACGATGCATTAGAAAGAACTGGAAGTTGAGAAAGAACTATGGAGTTTGAATGCAGATGAAAGCATACTATTTGCTCTTTTTTTTCCTTTTTGTTTTGTTTCCTCCTTCTTGCGGCTCCTTCTATTGGTTCTAATTCTTCCTTACAACATGACTAATGTGAAAATATGTTTAATAGGAATGTATGTGTAGAGCCTACATCAGACTGCACGCCATCTTGGGGAGGCAGGGGGAGGAAACTTTAGAACTCGGAAGAAAGGAAGGAAGGAAGGAAGTAGAAGTCAAGAAAATGTGAGTTCTACTCCTGGCTTGGCCAGGAGTGACCTTAGCCAGGTTTCTTCATATCTCTTGCCTCAGTTTCCCCATGCAAATTGGGGGGAGGAGTTTTGAACCGGAGAGATAGATGTCCACTAACATCCCTTTCTAGATCTAAATTTATGACTGTAAGATTCAATACATTTCCAACCCTGGTCAGGCCATTCTCCCCAATACCCTAACATAAGCTAAAGACACTACATCAGGAGTCAATGGACACGCATCCTTCAAACACTTACCCCACAGGAAAGGATGCTGCTCCATCCTGCTGCCCAGGAGCATCCACGTGGCAGACAGCAAAATGCTGGGTGATCTCCTGCATGTCCTCTGAATTGAAGAGAGGGTTGTAACAGGTTTTGTCTGTAGGATGGAAAGATGAGAGGAGAGGACAGACAGATTAATTTTAAGTGACCCTTGAGGGAAGCTGTCTTTTTGCTCACACCAAGCAGAAGTCTATGAGATACATACATTCCCCCGGTACCTACTATCACTGAATCACTGAAACTTAGAAATCATCTGACCCAGGCCCTACCTGAAGAAGCATCTCTTACAGAATCTCTGATCACGCAGGCTGTCCTGGCACATAGTAGGTACTTTACAAATATCTATTTCATTAATTCCTTGAATGCCTCTATCTGGAAAGCAACCCATTCAAATTCTAGACAGCTCCAATTCTCAGGAAATACTTTCTTGGACTGAGCCCAAACCTCCTCTAGTTTCCACCAGTCCTAGGCCTGTCCTCAAGGTCAAAGTCTGAGCCCCCTAACAAATGTCACCACTCAGATATTTAGCAGCTAATAATGATAGCCAGCAGTTATACAGTAAGTCTGCAAGCAGCACTTTACTGATATCCCCTCATTTCATCCTCACAACAACCATGGGAAATAGGTACCATTTCAAAGGAAACTGGGGCCGAGAGAGCTTATAAGTGACCTGTCCACATTCAGGTCCTCTCAAGTACAGTATCCTACACACTGCTCCACCTACTCGCTTCATTCTTGGAAGGTCAGGTCCCTCCACGAATGTCCCCCATCTTCGAGGTCAGAAGACAGCAGTGTACAAGTGAGAACGCAAGATTTGGAAACGAAGCTCAAATCCCACTTCTGACACTTATACACTTACGTCATGGCTTACCACCCACCTGGATCCCACAGAAGTGGTCCACACCCGGAATGTTATCTAGGGACCCAGGCCTGTCAGCCTTGTTAGTAGTAGTTCTGAGTTGGATTTGACCTTCTTATCTCGTCTGGTCCTTGTGTCTTCCCCCCTACTCCAGGGCACACTCCTCCTTTCCCTCAGGTGTGACAGCAGTGAGCGTAAGAGCAGCACTGGGGCCTACCAGGGGCATTTGGACAATTACTCCTATCCCTCGACCCTAAAGCTTGTTAACAGCTAAACAGCAGGATTTGTCTGACCGACCCCAAGAGGAAGGAGTGGAAGCTACAGGAAGGTTTGATGTAACTAAGGGTCAGCTGCCTGGAAATTAGAACTATACTAATGTAGAATGGTCTATAGTGGGTTCCTCCTTAGTCCTCAAGCATGGCTAAATTATGCTGTCAAAACAGATTCTCATTCAGACGGGGCTGGATAGATAATAACCAACAGTAACAGCATTGATATAATGCTTTAAGGTTTGCAAAGTGCTTTATAGATATTATCTCATTTTAATCCTGGCAAACAACCCTATGTGGGGTAATTATTAGTATTATCCCCATTTTACAGATGAGGAAACTGAGCCAAACAGAGATTAAGAGACTTGCCCAGGGTCAGAGGGGTTAGTAAGAGACTAAGACAGGCCCAGCTCCCTACCCTCTGCTCCGCTTAGCTGCTCCGCTTAGCTGCCTCGGAGACAACCTCTAAGAGCCAACTCAAAGCCTGTCACTTTTTCCTGTCTACATATGTAAATTCCCAGTAAGAATGAAAACACCTTGAGGGCAGGGGTTCGGTCTCCTTACTTCTCCAGTATAACATCCTTACCACTCCCACCACTGCCCAGCCCACACAATGTGCTTAGTAAGAGATTACCGGACCAAGGTCTGGCTTTGAGCCTCTGTGAGACAGCTGATGAGGTTTCTAAGCATCCAGGCAAACATACCTACTTATTTGCCAACTACCCTTTTTTTTAAAAGGCAATTGGGGTTAAGTGACTTGCCCAGGGTCACACATCTAGTAAGTACCAAGTGTTTGGTCTGAGGCCAGATTTGAACTCAGGTCCTCCTGACTTCAGGGCTGGTGCTCTATCCCCTGCGATGCCTAGCTGCCCTACCAACTATCCTTAGACACCTACTGAATGCAAGGTACCACGTAGGAGAAGTCCAAGATATTTGGTGGAAAGGGTGCTGGGTCTTGGGGTCCCAAGTATAAACGTCACCTCTAATGTTGACCATACATGTGACCTTTAACACCACTCAAGGCCTCAGTTTCTTCATCTGGAAAATGAGGGGTGGGGGCCGAGGGGTGTGGCCCATTTGACCTCCCAGGCTCCTCTCAGCCCTGCCTCTCTAGCATCCTATAATAAAGCTAACCCTCCTCCCACTCAAGGCCTCCGCAGATGCCTCCTGCCTCCTCCTGGCACGATGGCAACAAACTGTTTTTGAAAAGTCATGTCAGGAAGGAGCAAACTCCAGCAGATGGAACAGGGTCCCAATGACAGACTGTGCTTCTATGTTTGGAGAATCAACCTGGGCAAGGAGAAGCTCACTCATCAGAGGGGTAGCCATCAGACAATGAGGGGTTTTGGTTTGGTTTTTCTTTTCTCCCCCAATCACACTACAGATTATGGGGGTTGCGGTCTGAATTGGCTTAAGAAGCACCCACAGGGATGAAATCACTGATCCTAGAAGTATGGTAACCCAATTGATGAGAATATTCCTCTTCCCATGGCCCACAAAACAAGGTTCATTCCATGCTCTCTGGTCTGGCATTCAAGGCCATTACCCCATAGCTCTAAATTACCTTTCTAACACTAATTCATACTACCTTTCTTACACATTGGTTGTTTCCCAACCAACCCTCTCCTTTCCACTGCTCCCATAATCTTTGTCTTTTGAAAGATAATCAATGCTGTAAAATCCATTTCAAATGCCACCTCCTCCATGAAGCCTTCCCCAAATCCTTGGCCCAAGGAACCACCCCAATCCCAGCCCCAAGGGGTCCATGAATAGACCTCACAGGGTCTATGAACTCGGATGGGAAAACAATCACTTCCAACAGAAATTCTACACTTACTTTTTTTTTTAAAAATATCATTCTGAGCAGGGGGTCTATCACAAGACTAGGCTCCATGGCACAAAAAGGGTTAAGAATCCCTGCCCTAGCCCTCACCTCTAATAACCAATTTTCCCCTAGATGCTTACCACATTCCCCCTTTTACCAGTTACTTGTGTAAATCAATTTTAACTTACTAGACTAAAAACTCCTTGGGGCTAAGCCTTATGAAGTGTGGTATCCTATAATGGGGACAGCTTAGGTGGCACAGTAGATAGAGTTCCAGGCCTGGAGTCAGGAAGACTCATCTTCCTGAGTTCAAATCTGGTCTCAGAACACTGACTAGCTGGTACAACCCTGGAAAAGTCACTTCACCCTTTTGCCTCAGTTTCCTCATCTGTAAAATAAGCTGGAGAAGGAAATGGCAAACCACTCCAATATCTTTGCCAAGAAAACCCCATATGGGGTCACAAAGTGTTGGACATGACTGAAAAATAACTGAACAAAAAAAGAAAAAGAGAGAGAGGCCAGATCAGCTTAGGAAGGACTCATATTCCATGAACAACACTACTGCTACATTCAGTTCATCACCCCAGCTCTGTGTCATGCTTGCCATGTGACCCTGGAAAGTCACTTAGTCCCAAGTTTTCTTTTAACTTCATTTTCCTCATTTCTAAGACGGGGAATAGTGATACTGCCCCAATAGGATTATTGTGTTGCAACAATAGAGGTTAAAGCATAACCTAAATGTTGATTATTATTATTAATAAAGCATCTGTTGAGCTGCATTTGAACCCTGGCAGAAGACAGAGAGCTTTTGTACTCCCAATATGGCTACCATACAGTAGGAAACAGACCATTGAATACAGAATACCAGGAACTCTAAGCCACGCCACGCATAACACTGCTATTCTAAGAAGATCAGATTGAGAAAGAAGGCTCTGCAAAGAATACAGTGGGACTTCCTCTTACTATTCTCTTCTTACTGGGGACGTACAGATTCGCAGAATCACAGAATCTCACACTGTTGGAAGGGCCCTCCGAGGTCATCTATCCACCCCCTACATGAACATGAAACCCCCTCTACAAGACCCCTAACAAAGGGTCACACACCACCTACTTGGAAGACCTTTAGGATGAGGAACCCACACCTTCTGAGGCAGTCCACTTGGGGACAGCACCAGTTAGAAGGTCTTGGTATGGAGCCAAAAAATCTGCCTCTTTGCAACTCTGCACTCACAGCTCCAAGTTCTGGGGCCAAGAGCAACAAGGTTTGATCTCTCTTCCTCATAACTGCCCTTTAAAAAACTCAAAAACAGCTGTCAGGCTTATTCTATCGCCTCCTCTGCAGACTAAATAGCCTCAGTTCCTTCTACTGGTTCTCATGGCAGGATCTCCAGGCCTTTCACTATTCTAATTGCCCTCCTCTGGATTTTTTGTGGCTGAAATGATGAGATGGCTGCCCTGGGTTGTTCCTCTTCTTCAGTCATTTTTTCAGTTGTGTCCGACTCTTCATGACCCCACTTGGGGTTTTCATGGCAAAGATACTGGAGTAGTTTGTCATTCCTTCTCCAGCTCATTTTACAAAAGAGGAAACTGAGGCAGGGTTAAACGACTTGTTCAGGGTCACACAGATAGTGAGGATGAATTTGAACTCAGGTCTTCCTAACTCTAGACCTAACATTCTATCCACTGTGCCACCTAGCTGCTTCCTCCTCTGGTTCCTCTCTAGTTTATCAATGTCCTTCCTAAAAACTGATGCCCAGAGAGGAACACAACACTTAACAGGGTTACAGGGTTTAGAGCCAGAACGAGCCATAGGGATGGTTAGTCCACTCCGTTCATTTAACAGATGAGAAAACAGAAGACTCCCAGTTAAGTGCACAAGGTAACAGAGGCAGCACACGGCATAAGCTAGAACTTTAATCTGGTCCTGGATTCCAAATCCAAATGTTTCCCCCCACCTCCCCCCATCACAGTGCCACTCCTACAGCATGCTGATGTGCTCTTGCCAGGACAGCCTACGAAGAACCCATCCCCTCTGTAGCTTGGGACAATAGCTCTCTCTCAATGCAGCCTAATATCTTTCCTGATCTCCAAGAGATCGGCTTAGGCAACTTACGGTTCATGCCAATGTCATGATACGTGAGGATGACAGGCCGGTTCCCCTTGGGGGTTCCACATACGGTGACATGGACTGAGCCATGGAAAGTCTCAATGTCCTGCTCCTGTGGAAAGAAGAACACAGAAAATACTTTTCACCAAGAGCTCCCATGTCTCCAGCTCCTCCTGGACTAGGGTTCTGGCCGCTGGAGATCCTAACTCAGGGCTAGCTGAGCCCGAAAATTACTTCCATGTTCTACAGCTAAGCTTATCACAAGGAACGAACAGGAATTTATTCTCTGCTCAAGGGACACAGCTTTCTCTCACCCTGTGCAAAAGCGTAATAACTGTGATCAATACCGTGTGTCTTAAAAATATTCACGCACACGCCTAGAGCCATTCTCTAGATACCATGCACATTACCAGGCCAGGGCTTCATCTCAGCACCTTCCTTGAGTCTTACCATGATCATAAAGATCACACATCTAGAGCTGGAAAAGGCAAGCCCCCTCATTTTACAGAAAAGGATATGGAGGCCCATGAGGCGAATTTACTCCCTCTTCATTTTCACCTCCCCCTGGGATCCTTAGTTTCCCTCAAAGCTCAATTCAAGCACAGCTTCTCACATGAAGTCTTCCTTGCCTTCTCTCACATCCAACCCCTTTATATTTATAGAGAGTTCTCAATTTACATAAATTCACATTATGCAAATTTGTAAAGAATTCTGAAAGAAATCCACATTCCAAAAAAAAAAAAACAACCTATGTTCACTTTGCTATACAGTACTCCCTCTGCTCCTGCCTCTCAGCCTGGCACTCCACAACCCCCCCCAACCATGCCCCCACCCAAAAAAACCTAAAAAATCCCCCCAAGTGAAAGCAGAGCAGACTCCCCAAGAGTCTACCACTGCCCCAGCTCCAGGGACTCGGCTTGAGAGCTGTGCACAGAGAAAGGAGACCTTTGCCTTGCTCCACCCACCTACCTGTGTGTCTATCTTCCGCCACCCAAGCTTGGGTACCTCAGGTCTGTCCCTCACCCCTGAGTGTCACCAGTCCTCTGCTGTCTGTGTCTGGCCCCCAACGTGTCTACCCACCCCACTAAGGGTTCTTCCTCTCAGTTCCAGCCAGTCCCTCACATGGCTGTTCTCCCCCCTGCTCGAGCTTCTCTATCCCCAGCCCCTACGTGTCCTTAAACGAAGGAACAGCTAACCTCCCTAAACAGGCATGTGGCTTCCTTTCCCATGTCCATGTCTAATTCACATTAGATAAAAATCTCTTCATGTAGAGAATGGTCCATTTAAGTAAAGCAAGAACAGTCTGTATTTGGTATACTGTATATTGATGTATGTGTAGCCGCTCCCCCCCCCCCCCCCAGAATGGGTGCTCCCTGAGGGCAAAGCCTTTCCTCTTTATCTCTATATGCCAGCACCTAAGACAATGCCTGCTATGCAGTAGGCACTTAATAAATGCTTACTGAATGATTCATTGATCATCCCACAGGTAGGGAGCTGCATGGTTAGACTACGAGCCTAAGTCCTTTGATTTCGAATCCTTACCATGCTGGAAACTAGAACCCACATCTTTTTTTTTTTTTAATTTTCAGGTGGTTGCAGTTAAGTGACTTGCCCAGGGTCACACAGCTAGTAAGTGTCAAGTGTTTGGTCTGAGGCCACATTTGAACTCAGGTCTTCCTGACTCTGGGGCCAGTGCTCTATCCACTGCGTCACCTCGCTGCCCCTAGAACCTACATCTTATGAAAACAGAGTCCTCGCTCTTCCCCCATACCACAATCACCATCAATAACAAGCTTTTATTATGCCCTCACGATCTGCTGGCCATGGTGCTGAGCACTGAGGATACAAAGACAGGCAAACACACAGCCCTGCCCTCAAGGAACTGACACGCAATACACAAACAACCGTGCACAACACAGGACACGCAGAGTGAATCAGACACCACTCAGAGCGAAGGCACTGGCTCTTGACCGAGCGCTGAGGCGGCCAAGCCCCTTTCCACCACCCACCCAACCCATGCTCCCAATGTCTAGGCTGGGCCCCGCATCCCCTTGTCGTGGTCCTGAGCCAGATGCTAGCACAATGGCCCAGTGTTGAACCATGATACTCTCCATTGTCTCCTGACTTCCCAGAACCCTCCCTCCCGCAGATGTGTACATCTTATCTAAAAATAGCACAGAAAGCCAAACAGAAGGAGATTTTTAACTCTGGAGGGCATGGCTCCAGCCTCTGTAAGAAGAACCAGAGCGGTTAAGGTCCTCTTCTGGTTCTAACCCAATTTAATTCCAACACTTACTAATTAAGTGCATACTAAGAGTAATGAATTCCCTAGGCTATGTGGTGAGGATGAAGAGATCAAAAAACTCAGAACTGTCCTTTGCCACAAATGTGCCTTCTCTGGGGGTGGGAAAGAGCGGGTTTACGTGTCAATAATTGTCATGGATGGAACTAAGAAGCATTTGGGGGAGGGGAGGGCAGAACTTGAATCCAGGTCTTCCTGACCCTATGACACCATACTGCCTCTCTGCAGTAAGAGGTACTCACTCACTATCACACTTAGGGATATACACTTAGTGGGATGTAAGCTTTGTGGGGGCAAGGATTAGTTTTTTTTTTTCCTATTTTCCCAAGCACCTAAGCATAGTGGTCTTGCTCTGCTGGTGTTTAACTGAATCAAATCACATTTTATCCTTATTACCCATCATCTGCCTCCTATTCTCTCCTTTACATCACGGCTATGTTAATATACCTCATGCACATCTCAGAAGGACATCATGAAAGGCAGCCAGGTAGATAACTGGACATGAGTCAGGAAGTTGTTGGGTTGTATCTGACTCTTCATGACCCAAGAAAACCTGGGTTCAACTCCTGATTCATATACTTAGCAGGTACGTAACCTTGAGCAAGTCATTTAAATGCCGTCTGCCTCAGTCTCCTCATCAGTAAAACAGGGATAATAACAGCACTTAATCTCCAGGGCTGTTGTACGGATCAGTATTTGCAATGTGCTTTGCAAACCTTAAAGCACTATATAAATGCTAATCTGCTGTGGGGCTTAGAATATTCAAAGCCTCAAAAAGAAGACTTCTGGTGTGTTAAGTGGATCTCCTATGGAAGATATTTAGAAACACAGAAATAAAAATGGCACAGGATGAGAAGAGACACTGACCTAAAATTTGTATAATCTTAAGAAAACTTTAACTCTCCCAGATACAAAGTTAAAAAGTAAGAGCATTGTTCAAAGGAAGACTTTTCTTCCCTCATTCACTGCATGGAGATGAGTTAGGTTCTCAAAGGTTATGCCAATGGAATGTAAGTAGCCCTGGGAGGGGCTACCAACCTGGAACCACCTTTGAGGATGGGGCAAACTGGCACCAGTTCTCTTAAGGAGCATCCCAACTTAGGGCAGAGGGGCTCATCGCCAGAAGGCTGGCCATGAAGGAGCCAAAGTGTATCCACACCACCTCAAAGACTGTCTGCGAAAGCCTGATTTAGGTTAGTAGAGGGAATTTTACCCACATAGGTAAAATCATGAATCCCGGAAGCATTCAAAGTAAAAGGATACACAGCTCTCCGAGGTCACCCAAAAACATTCAGACTCAGTTTCCTCATCTGAAAAATGGAAATCATAATACCACCCACCTCCCAGGGTTGGTGTTAGGGCAAGATAATATTTATAAAGCACTCCTCTGCAAATCTTAAAGCATTATATAATTATTAGATATTATTAAATAAATGCTAGCTATTATTTAAGGTTCCCGACATGATACTTTGCATTCTTAACTCACACTACTGCCTTCTCCACTTACTTTATGCTCTAGTCAAATTAGAACTAATTTTGGTCTATCCATCAAAGATAATCCTCTAATTTTTACTCATTATGCTTTTTCCCTAAGAATCAAACAAGAAGCATTTATTAAATGCTCACCACATTCCAGGCACAGTGCTAGGTACTGGGTGATACAACTACAAAAATGGTGGAAGCTCTGCCCTCAAGGAGTTTTTATTCTATATAAATAGTCTGCCCTACTACTATCTAACTTAGGTTGAATCCTAGATTTGCTTTTCAAGAACCATCTCCAAATTCATAGGACTAGTGGGGGGGGACAGGACAGGGAGAGAGACGGAAGGAATGGACAACTCAAGTTCCTCCTCCAAGAGTCTAATGAAAGCCATGAGGCAGTTAGGTGGTGCAGTGGATAGAGCACCAGCCCTGAAGTCAGGAGGACCTGAGTTCAAATCCAGCCTCAGACCAAACACTTGACACTTACTAGCTGTGTGACCCTGGGCAAGTCATTTAACCCCAACTGCCTAAAAGTAAAAACAAAAACAAAAAAAAGAAAACCACAGACCTCTTCTCAGAATCTTTTTTTTTTTTAAATAAAGATCACAGACCCTTGGTTAAGAACTCCTGTCCTAAGAGAAGCCTTCATGGATCCTGGGAGGTAGAAATAATCTTTTCCATCCCCAGTGCTACTTTGTATCTCACTAATGTACTTACGTTTATTTTTAGAATTTTTTTTTAAAGATAGATAAGCCATTGGTTAATTTGTAGAAGAAAACCAAATATCCAGTATCAAAAATGAAAAAGGTAAAATCGCCATCAATGAAGAAGAAATTAAAGCAAGTATTAGGAAATATTTTGCCCAATAATATGCCAATAAATCTGACACTGAGTAAAACTGATTAATAGTTATGAAATATAAATTACCTAGATTAACAGATCAGGAAATAGAATGCCTAAACAACTCCATCTCACAAAAAGAAATTGAACAAACCATTAATGGATTCCCTAAGAAAAAATCCCCAGGCTCACAAGTGAATTCTGACAAACATTTAAAGAACAATTAATTCCAAAACTATAAACTATTTGGATAAATAGGCAGAGTCCTTCCAAACTCCTTTTATGAAACAACTATAGTGCTGATACCTAAACCTGAAAGAACTAAATCATAATTTCTCTAATGAATACCGATGCACAAATTTTAACCAAATACTACCAAGGTGATTGCAGCAATGACGACAAGGATCATACACTATGTCAGGTGGGATATCACACCCGGAATGTAGGGTTGGTTCAATATGAGGAAAACTACCAACCTACCTGACCAT